AGAAATTCTTACAAAAATCAAATAATTATCAAATTTTAATGAAAATTTTGGGACTTATTTAGAAATGAATGAAATTATTTTTTAAAATAGAAGCAATTTTTTTTTTCCACATATGTTACCCTTAATATGTTAACTTAAACTGAAATCTCAATTTTTTTTTTTATTAGTGAAAAGCGGGACCCCTTGGAGAATTTAAATCATCAGTATTTTTTTTTTGTAAATCAGGACACACAGTTACTAAGAATCTGCTCTGAATTGTAAAATAAAAAATACAATAAAACTATGATACTATTTAATTATAAAAGCTTTTAACTGCTTTCATAAATAAGATTTATTAAGGACACTATTGTCTTAAGAAAAAATTTTCAATGAATAATGAATTTTTACAAGAATTGTTTTCATTTTTTTAATTTTAATTATAATAATTTATAATATTATAAATCATTTAAAATTCTGCATTACTTCAATTTGGTTAGGTAATATTGTTATTAAGTGAAAACTATATTTACATACAATATTTTTTTAAAATTTTCTTTTTATATATATATATATATATATATATATAAAATACTATGTAACTTGACCCTGTTTGAAAGTAAGATTGACCAGACACAACATTATCAGAAAATAAGAGCGTTGATCATAGTAAATTTAAACACAATGTTCCTAAAATTAGATTATAGAAAATATTTCCCAACATTTTTAAGATTATTGTATGCTTAAAAATTATATAGAAAAGGGTCTCAGCTGTCATTTTCTTAAATTACATTTTAACAAATAAAGTCTCCATAGAACAACAGTAAAGGTGTTGACAGATTTTAATCATCATTTCATAAGTAAACTATGAGTGATAAGCATGCAATCACTGCTACCATTTATTTTAAAAATCCATTTCTGTTATTTTAAACTTAAAGTAAATAGTTTTTTTTTCAAATCAGATTAATTATACTTTAACTCAGCTAATATTCCTGAAATAAAGTTTCTGAAAAGTATATTTTATTTTGGGGAGATTTTTTAATGCCCAGAACTAACTTTTGTTTACAAATGTGTCAAAAATGGCCGATTTTGTGAAAGCAAGCAAAAAGTTGAGATTCCAATCAATATAATTTCTATTTGAAATACACCAGAGTATTTTGCTTACTGGAAATAGTAAATTTAATCATTCAGCTTTCAATTAAAGCTCAAATGAAAGTTTCAAGAATGCTTTTTCATCTTTAAAAATTCATTTTAAATCTTAGGTAAAGAAAATTTAGTGGAGGTACCTAGGTTAGAGTAATCCAAATGGTTATGATTGGATGTGTCTGTTAGATTCCAATAACAGAGAATTGCTAAGTACTATCCTTATTCTCTTGTGGCCTTTCTGACATTGTTGTATTGTACAAAAACAATTTATGGCAGAAGAGACTGCAGGAAAAGGTTAGGATAGATGATGATTAAAAACTTATGTCTAAATTCTTCCATTATATTTTGTGAAGGTGTGTCATTTTAATAAAAGTTGTAAACATGAACATTTTACAAATTGGACCAACTACAGATAGATGAAGCTATGTTTGACAATTCTGTGAATGGTGAGATTCTATTCTGTATCACATGGTAATATTTTATTTTATAAAACTGATACTATGGTTTTGTGTGTGTGTGTGTGTGTGTGTGTGTGTGTGTGTGTGTGTGTGTGTATGTATGTATGTATATATATATATATATATGTAAATAAAACACACACAGATGCTAATCATTGCTTGTCATGTTCTAAAGAGAGATGAGAAAAGTTTTAACTACAAAAGATAGTCAATCTCCTTGAAGAAAACAGTTGTACCCACTAAAATATATTCAAAGAAATCACGGCGAACTTAATGATGGCTTTGCTTTTATTGCAAAGCTCTTTGGAATTCCAGTACATTCAAAAAATTTAACCACACTATAAGCTGCAGCTCAAATTAAATGCAGACACACAAACAAGTGCAGGTCCATAAGCTTTACATACTTATCAAATGGATTTTTATCTGACATTTTCTTCATGTTAAATATATGTGATCTATAGAGATCATACATATTTAATTAGATTAAGTGCAGTGATAAGAAAGAATATGTTAACAAAAATTGTGTCAATGTTTCTTTTCATTATTAGACCTATTGAAAAAATATGTAAATAAAATAATGGACATATGATCAAACTATCCATACACATGATTCGAGTAGTGAAGCCTTGTGCAGAACCAATCACATTTTTCAAAAGAACTAAATACAGAAAATAGGTGCATATAGTGTACCATGAGGTCCGCAAACAGCCCATCTCAAGTTTTGAATTAAGTTTTTCTTGTCCTAGACTGATTGCTAAACAAGGTTAAAGAGCCCAATCTGCCCTACTATTTAACCTATAGCTTGGGGGATGAAGAGACGAAGTCATACCTTTCCCAAGGATATATGTGCATAAGTGAATAGTGTTTCATACTTAAACATTATTAACAGGCTTGCTAATTGCATTTAAGCATGAAATATACAATTACAGCTGGGTGTTGATATCAATGTTCAGTTTTGTATTTCCATACAGAGAGTATGGAAATACAAAACTGAAAATGGAAAATGGTTGCTGTATCTATTGTCAGTAATGACATTTTCTTTCTTTTAATGCCATGTCCAATTAGGACCTAGGTAATCATCTCTTTCCACGGATGCCTTTTTTTATTATCTATAAATTTCTATGTATTCTTGCAAAAGGTAGTAAAGTCATTGCCTTTTAGCAGTTTGAAATTCAGTTTTCCTTGATAGACTTGTTGCACTCAAAGCTAAAGAGTCCAGTTTACTTTATTATTTATCCCTGGGAAGGGGACGAGAAGAGAGATTCATGCTTTTCCCAAGGACATTAATACAAAATTAAATGCAAGATACTAGACTAGAATTTGAACTTGGCATGTCTATTCCACTTTCCATAACAATATCCATTAAACTCCCTGCACATCCAACAATCACAAACAAATCTAATATTTGCCAGAATAGCTGCTAGACAATTCCAGAATAAAAAATATATTTCCCAGAATAGCTGCTAGACAATTCCAGAATAAAAAATATATTTCCCAGAATAGCTGCTAGACAATTCCAGAATAAAAAATATATTTCCCAGAATAGCTGCTAGACAATTCCAGAATAAAAAATATATTTCCCAGAATAGCTGCTAGACAATTCAGAATAAAAAATATATTTCCCAGAATAGCTGCTAGACAATTCAGAATAAAAATATATTTCCCAGAATAGCTGCTAGACAATTCCAGAATAAAAAATATATTTCCCAGAATAGCTGCTAGACAATTCCAGAATAAAAAATATATTTCCCAGAATAGCTGCTAGACAATTCCAGAATAAAAATATATTTCCCAGAATAGCTGCTAGACAATTCCAGAATAAAAATATATTTCCCAGAATAGCTGCTAGACAATTCCAGAATAAAAAATATATTTCCCAGAATAGCTGCTAGACAATTCCAGAATAAAAAATATATTTCTCAGATTACCTGCTAGACAATTCCAGAATAAAATAGACCATGCACTATGGAAGATAAGATGGTGACTATTGCTGTGTGTTTTATTTTAATTGCAACATAAAAATTAATAAAAGAAGCCAGGGTTATGGCCACATCATATTGAAACACTGATTCCTGTATAATCACCAAAGTTAAGCAATAACGAACCTAGTCAGTACCAGGATAGATGATCACTTGGCAATACCAGGTGCTGTAAGCTTGGAGGTGTGGGTGATATATAATGGATAATAGCCTTGGAATTGTTAATTAGAGAGTTGAATTCCAATTGGGTTCCTTATATTCACTTACGCACAAAAACTCTTGTGAAAAGTATGAATTCACCTCTTCTCTTCCCATATATGGGTTAAATAGTAAGACTTGTATCACTAAATCATTATTATCTAAAAAACTTCTTACAAACTAAAAATATTTTCTGGCTTTAAATAAGCTGCAAAGGGTTGATAATCTGTAAAAAAAAATGAATCAATCAATCAGATTACACAGCAATAATCATCATATTTTCTGCTATAGTAAATAATCAGCTTCATTCGAGGATTTCTCAGTGGCAACTTTGGCAAACATGGTGGATCCTGAACAATCACTTTCATAGTGTAATGCCCACTGTCATTACTGAAGACAAAATATTTTTATGGAAAAAAAGATACATTATCTGGTGGAAAAATTTTTAGACTCACACTCATATCATAATTTTGCCTTACAATTGAGAATTCAGCAGCAGTCTCCATTTCTCTCACAGAATTGATGGTGACTGACAATACCAATGGAAAAAAAGACAGGATTTTTTTTTTCCACAATTGCTGCAGGTGCAGGATTGCTGGCTAGAAGGAGTGGCAACTCTATGATGTCCCTTTCTCACTACCACCCTGAATCTGCAGATTGATTCAGTGAGGGCGGTCACCTGGAAACACACAAATAAAGTTGTTTGCATATTAGAAATTTCTTTCTACTAAGATTTCAGATCTTAGAACAAAGAAATTTCTCATGTGCAAACAACTTTATTAACCCATAAAAATTTGACAGTCACCGAATTATGTGGACTGTTTTAACATTTTTAAACTTTCTTTTTTGCCTCATGTGAATAAAACATTTAGTTAATCTCATTGCATTTTACATTAAAGTGGAAATACACAATAAAAATAAATATTAGCACAACAAAAAAAAATAAATAAAAAAAAATGATACAGTAATTACTTCTCTCCACTTTTTGTTCTCTTTGCAAAACTTCAATGAGTATTCACAAAAGAGATAATTTGATTGAACCATATCCTTCTAAATCATTACTTGATGATGGCTGGAGAACAATCCAGGTAAAGTGAATCCAATACACAATGTGGCAAAGGTCAGGATGTTAGTCCGAGTCAAATCCTGATTATTGTCAGGTTAATTTCCATTTTGGAGACAGACATGCAGAATGAAATTTCCTTTTGGTTTAGTTAATGAATGTATGAAAGGTAATGGCTGATTAAAAAGAGCAAAGAAAAAAAGAGATAGATAAGAGAGAGTAAAGAAAAAAAAAAAGAGATAGATAAGAGAGAGTAAAAAAAAAAAAAAAGAGATAGAAAAGAGAGAGATAAAGAGAGTAAAGAAAAAAAGAGATAGATAAGAGAGAGTAAAAAAAAAAAAAGAGATAGATAAGAGAGAGTAAAAAAAAAAAAGAGATAGATAAGAGAGAGTAAAGAAAAAAAAGAGATAGATAAGAGAGAGTAAAGAAAAAAAAAGAGATAGAGGAAAAGAGAAAGTAAAGAGAGAGAAAAAAAAAGACAGAGAAGAGAGAGAAGCAAAAAAAAAGACAAAAGAAGAGAGAGAGAGCAAAGGGACAAAAAGAGAGAAGCAAAGAAAAGACAAGAGAGAGAGCAAAGGAAAAAGACAAAGAAGAGAGAGAGAGAGCAAAGGAAAAGACAAAAGAAGAGAGAGAGAGAGCAAAGAAAAAAGACAAAGAAGAGAGAGAGAGCAAAGGAAAAGACAAAGAAGAGAGAGAGAGAGCAAAGGAAAAAGACAAAGAAAGAGAGAGAAGCAAAGGAAAAGAGAGAGAGAGAGCAAAGGAAAAAGACAAAGAAGAGAGAGAGAGACAAAGGAAAAAGACAAAGAAGAGAGAGAGAGAGCAAAGGAAAAGACAAAGAAGAGAGAGAGAGAGCAAAAGGAAAAAGACAAAGAAAGAGAGAGAGAGCAAAGGAAAAAGACAAAGAGAGAGAGAAAAAAGACAAAGAAGAGAGAGAGAGCAAAGGAAAAAGACAAAGAAGAGAGAGAGCAAAGGAAAAGACAAAGAGAGAGAGAGGCAAAAAAAAAGACAAAAAAGAGAGAGAGAGAGCAAAGGAAAAGACAAAGAAGAGAGAGAGAGAGCAAAGGAAAAGAGAAAGAAGAGAGAGAGAGAGCAAAGGAAAAAAGACAAAGAAGAGAGAGAGAGAGCAAAGGAAAAAGACAAAGAAGAGAGAGAGAGAGCAAAGGAAAAAGACAAAGAAGAGAGAGAGAGCAAAGGAAAAAGACAAAGAAGAGAGAGAGAGCAAAGGAAAAAGACAAAGAAGAGAGAGAGAGAGCAAAGGAAAAGACAAAGAAGAGAGAGAGAGCAAAGGAAAAAGACAAAGAAGAGAGGCAAAGGAAAAGACAAAGAAGAGAGAGAGAGAGCAAAGGAAAAGACAAAGAAGAGAGAGAGAGAGAGCAAAGGAAAAAGACAAAGAAGAGAGAGAGAGAGCAAAGGAAAAAGACAAAGAAGAGAGAGAGAGAGCAAAGGAAAAAGACAAAGAAGAGAGAGAGAGAGCAAAGGAAAAAGACAAAGAAGAGAGAGAGAGAGCAAAGGAAAAAGACAAAGAAGAGAGAGAGAGAGAGAAAAGACAAAGGAGAAGAGAGACAAAGAAAAGACAAAGAAGAGAGAGAAAAAGGAAAAAAGACAAAGAGAGAGAGAGAGCAAAAGGAAAAGACAAAGAAGAGAGAGAGAGCAAAGGAAAAAGACAAAGAAGAGAGAGAGCAAAAGAAAAAGACAAAGAAGAGAGAGAGAGCAAAGGAAAAAACAAAGAAGAAGAGAGAGAGCAAAGGAAAAGACAAAGAAGAGAGAGAGCAAAGGAAAAAGACAAAGAAGAGAGAGAGAGCAAAGGAAAAAGACAAAGAAGAGAGAGAGAGCAAAGGAAAAAGACAAAGAGAAGAGAGCAAAGGAAAAGACAAAAGAAGAGAGAGAGCAAAGGAAAAAAGACAAAGAAGAGAGAGAGAGCAAAGGAAAAGACAAAGAAAGAGAGAGCAAAGAAAAAGAAAAAGCAAACAAAAGACAAAGAAGAGAGAGAGCAAAGGAAAAAGACAAAGAAGAGAGAGAGTAAAGACAAAGAAAAAAAAAGAGAAAAGCATATAAAAAAAGCAGGAAAAAGGAAATGAGAAAAAAAGCAGGAGGGTAAAGAAAAAGGAAAAAAAAAAGAGAACAAAGAATGAATGAAAAAGGAGAGAGAGAGAGCAAAGCAGAGAGAAGGCAAGTGATAAACCAGAGCAGAGAAGGAAAGGAAACATGAAATGAAAGAGAAAACAGAGTAAAGAAAAGGGATAAAAGAGGGGAAATTAAGGAAGGAATGAAAAGAGGAAGAAGAAAAAAAAAAGGGAAAAGAAAGCAGAAGGAATAAGTATAATGGAGAAAGAAAAGTAGAATAAGAGAAAAGAGGTAGAAGACAAAACAAGAGAAAGAGGATAGATGTATATAAGAAACAGAAAGTAAAAACAAGAGAGAATTAGGAAATTCAACTGAGATAAGAGTCTATTGATGATTGAACAAGAATTATGGTTTAACAGAGCACAAACTGTAATAAGTTAAGAGGCAAATTAGTTGTGGCTTAAGACACTTAATCAATCCAACATTTATATGATCAGTAATTTGTTCATTTAGTAGAGAGTTGAATTGATAAAGAATTCAGACCCTTTACAAAGGAGCTCTTCAACATTATAAGGAAAAGACATTTCAAGATTTACATTGGAATTTAAAATTCCTACACCAAAAGGAAAAGGCTAAGAGTACAAAATATTAATTCAATGACAATACTTCCTCCAGGCATAAGACAAAAACATACAATATTTTCTAGCTAATGGCACACCTCTATAATTTTGAAATTAATATTTAAAGAAAAGGTAAGAATATTTAACAGATGATTTTCACACACACACACATATATATATATATATATATATGTAAAGTGTTTTTTGTTCTGTTAAGTACTTTACTGAGTAGGTAGGTTTGCTGTTAGGCCTTTTTTTCTTTTTTCAGTATTGTCATTTTTGTTTGATATTTTATCTGGAAAGAGTTTTAAGTTTAGGCAAGTTGTTCGTTGGGTCCATCAATGGGTTTTAATTTTTCTTATATATATATATATATATATATATATATATATGTGTGTGTGTGTGTAGAGAAGAAGAGAAGGAGTTGTGAGTTTGGGCAGCAATCCCTCTTTAATATGTTTTGTTAAACAAAAATGACATGTTACTTTTATTAAGTTTTTATATTTTTCTTGTTATGTGTGTATATATATATATATATATATATATATATATATATACACACACACACAAAAAAAAAAATCTATGTGTATATGTATGTATGTAAAAATTCAGATACAACTAAAAGTATATCTATAAAAAGTCAATATGAATAAAGACAAAAAGAAAACTTATCTTAGATGATGCTAAGTTCATCAGAGGACGAAATGCTTTGGTTAAGATAAGTTTTCCTATTGTCAGTCAAGATAAGTTTTCCTATTGTCAGTCATTCATATACACACATGCACACAAATGATTGTTTATAAGCAACTGTGCTCAAATAACTCTAAATCTTAAGCAATTCTACTACTGACATCATTTTGGCTTCAGTAGCTTAAAAAAAAAAGAAAAGAGAGAAAGAGAGAGAGAGAAAATAGAAAAATCAAACAAAAGGGGCTACTCTACAGTCAATACTGTATTCAAAAATTCTACCAGTTTCTTTACATTAAGATGTCTTTAAGGTGTATTAATTAGACCGAAGCATAAAAGATTTAAATAATGTAAGCAAGTTATTCATGCACATCAATTAAGCAACTGAATAATATATATATATATATATATATATATATATATATATATATATATATATATATATATATATAGATAGATAGATCTAGTGATAGGACCCAAAAGAGTGTGAGTTCAATACCCGGTTAAGGCAGTGGAGAATTTGGAGAGGGGAATTAACAGAAGATAACTGATAACTGACATCCATTAAACATGGCACATGAAACTAAAACAGTCTACCCCACTGAGCGAAATAAAGGGTTCAGTTTGACATACCAACCACCTGAAGAAGACTGGAGCATACAATGGCTGAAACGTTGTAATAAATATGGTGACAAAGATGAGGACAATAGTCTGAATACTGTAAATACCATTTTGTTGTATTTCCAATAAAAAAAATAAAAAAAAAAACATTTCTTACACATGGTAAACTGGAGTTTGATTAAAAACTAAAAGATTGAGAAGCAGCAATATTATTTTATTGGAAGAAGCATTGTCAACCATTATTCATTTTTAATAATATGCACTTTCATTATAACTTTAATAACTTAGAAATAATGGTTGATCATGTTACATTGTATAATAATCATACTGATGCTACTTACCAATACAAGTGAATACAAAAACATCTTTTTTTTCATAAAGAACATATTCTACTTCTATGTGCCATGTCCATTCAGGACATGAGTGATCATGACTCATGACTCATTACAATTTCTTATTCTTTGTAGTTGTTAGTAAGGTTTGTCTTATCGCACCCAACCTGTGTCCTTCCAACTATTTCCAAGAGGTGCTTGCTGCTTCCCAGTTTTCCTTTTGGCCTTTGATATGTCCTGTGAGTGTCAAATTCCACAGGACATTTTTCTTCATTATGTACCCTATAAATTTCTATTGTCTCCTTCTGATTCTAAATATAAGCATCCTTTTTTCTAACTCATGTTTGCTCCATGGCATTCTCAGCATCTTTCTTTAGAACAGCATTTCTATTGCCTCAAATTGTCTCTTGATCTCTGAGGAGATTGCCAAAGAGGATGATATTACATAACAGTTTAGTACTCTTTTCATTGTTTCTAAAGAAATTTTCTTATTTCTTAATAATTTGCTTAGCTTTTAAAAGCTTCTTCCTCTGTCAAAAAGCACCTTTGGATTTTGGTGTCACATTTTCCATCCTCTTTCCCTTAAATTTTCATACTTTGCATCTTGTTATTTTTGCTGACAACTATACATTCTGTCTTCTTACAATTCAGGGTTAGTCCTTTCTTCTCACTCTCTACCTTCTGAAGGTGTTTCTGAAGTTTCCTTTAGTGAAGTGATAGGTCAGAGTTGGTTTTCAAGAAAGTCTTCAAGTTTAGGCTCAACAAGGCTTAGCTGAGATGCAATTTCAGATCTCAGCAAGAGTGCTTTTTTTCTGATCCTTTGCTTGTCTATATATAAGTATGTGGCAGAGTGGTTAGAACATTCTTTTTTGGACCATAAGGCCCAGGTTCAAATCTCACCAGGTGTCGATTTGTCACAAAGATGATGTGATGCTTTTGGTCTGGGAGAGGTGATTGTAGCATGCAGCACCTTTTGAAAGTGCCTGAAAACCATACTACGGGTTGACCAGCAGCTTTGTAAGTAAAATTGGGTAGACGCCAATAGCTGTGCTAGCATTAAGTTAGAAATCATCGTGATCAAGTGTTTGAGCATGTTGGCCTTGTTCAGACATCTCTCCCAGAAATTGTAACTAATGTCTGCTCAGCATAGTTGCAGTATCAACCACAGGTGGGCTCTGTAGGTGTTGAATGAACACAAGTGTGCGTGAGTAGGCATCTACAACAGGGATTGGTTAGCTGGCGTAGTAGACAGGTATCCTCAAATATGAGTGTCCAGTCATAATACATACTGATGCCCTGAGTTAATGCTGCAAAAAGCAACTAATAATTCAGATTAAAATTCTAATAAAAATTAATAAAAACAATATATGTATGTGTGTGTGTGTATATATATATATATATATATATATATTTAAGTTATGAAGAACTTGGTAAACCGAATTGGTAAATCCAAGGAGGATGAAATCCTGACAGCTCAATGTGAAGAACAAGTTTTTCATTAAATTATTGTAATGGTACCTTAAAGTGGTCTGTTTTTCATTAAATATATATATATATATATATATATATATATATATATATATATATATATATATATATATATATATATGAAACTCTGAGTTGTGTTATCGATGTTGGACATTATGTATATTCACTAATATATAGTTATAGCTCTGTCACATAACACTGAGCACTGTATTTATAACACCTGAGGTAAAAATATATTTATACATACGTGCAAATATATATGCATGTATGTATATTTTTTCCCCATATATATATTTCTGGGACTGTTATCTAAATCATTACTGTGTGTCATACTAATTCAAAATGAAAAGTGCTTTTCATCTAAAGATCACCTTAAATTAACAATTTAGATCAGAGGCCCTGAGCACTTCTAGATGTTTGTTATTGTCACAGTTCTTTGTTTAATTTTTAGATGCACTGAAAGTTTTTTGTCTAGGTAGGTGTCTGTTTTTTATCTTCTTCATGTTTTCTAATTTGGCCGATTTGGTATTGATTGCATCATTCTTTGATACCTTACCGATTGCCTAGTTTATTCTAGTTATATAATTATTATTAAACACAAAGTAAGTAGCTACCAAGCAAGTATACTAAAAAGGTACACTGGAGAAAGAGAGCTCAATGCAAAAATGGCAATACATTTATGTTATATTATTATAATCTGACAAACCACAACTATTAGTTTCTTATGCACCAATCAGGCAATCATCAAATAGTACTTGTTTGTTCACTGAAATGGGCATTTTATACCCTCTCAGTTGTCTGAAGTTGTTACAACGAGGGTAGCTGGCAAATACATAATATGCACACACCAACTCAACTCATATGGCTAAAAGTTGAACAGTCAAAAAATCATTAGGTTGGGTGGGGTGGGGGGTTTAAAAACACACACACACATATGAGAGAGAGAGGAAAATAGCTTTATTAGAAAATGTGTTTTTGTTTTAATTTCCTCTGCAGCATGATTGGCAATAGCAGATAGCCCATATGAAATGGCTATGTTTTTTATTTGCAATTTTGGCCCCTTTTCAAGTAAATTAATCTCCAAGACTCTTTAATGATACGCATGTGTGCATATTTATGAGGGAGTGCAGAAAAGTTCTGAAACAGACCAAGAAAACACTTGCAAAAAGAACTTGATGTCTAGTCATTTAATCAAAATTGAGGAAGTGGGTTAGGCCAGGAATTTTTAACAGCCCCTCACATACACATATATATATATATATATATATATATATATATATATATATATATATATATATATATGCACATAAACATTTGGTTTCAGTTAACCTAATTTTCATCTATTTTCTGATATCTTTCTGTTAATAGAAATATATTATTTTTGCTAGCTTCCAGACCTTTTCTTATGGTCATTAGGAATGGCCGTTCCTCATACACTTACTAAACCCACAGAGAAGAGATGGATTCTTATCTTTCCCAAGAGAATTTGTGCATAAGTGAATGTAAGAAACCTGAATGGAATGCAAATTCAGCTCTCCAATTTCAACCTGCACATCTCCATGGCGAGAATTATCTTTACAGGAGTCCTTTCTTAAAATTATTGTCTGACCAACTTTTATTACA